GTCTTTTTGCTAATCGCACCTTGCCAGCGCTCCATCCTCCTCCTCCTCCCTGCCAAGAGAAACAAAGGCCAGAGTCGGGGAGCATTCTCCTATTGCCCATCCCAATGACGGCATTTGCATGGACTGGACGACTTGCTGACGTTTTGATGATCCTCGCCAGCTTTTGTTCTCGGTCGGCCTCCTCCCTGCCAAGGGACAAAGGCCAGAGTCGAGAAGCATTCTCCTTTCACTCACCCCAGCGGCATTGCATGGACTGGGCGACTACTTGCTGACTTTCAATGGTTCTCGCCAGCTTCGTCCTTGGTCGCCCTCGTTTTCTTGCTAATTGCCACCTCGCCAGCTTCATCCTCCTGCTCCCCTCAGGGCACGACGCAGCCGTCGGTCAGGTTAGTATTCCTATTTCGTTCTCGCCTTTTGCTAATTGTCATCCTGGAGTCGAGAAGCATCTTCTCTCGTTCGGGCCTGGGCATCTCCTTGCTGACCGTCAACCCGAGCCAGTTTCATTTTCCTGCCCTCGTCACGACCAGCCGTCGGTCGGGTCGGTACTTCAATCCCCTTTCTGCCTTCAGGTCAGTATTCCAGTATCCTTCTCGTCGCCTTTTTGCTGACGTCAACCATTCTAGCAAGCTTCATTCTCCAAACCATCACGACCAGCCGTGGTCAAGTCGTACCCAATTCCATCCCTTTTCTGCCTTCAGGTCAGTATTCCAATTTCCTTCTCCTCGTCTTGCCAACGTCGATGATTCCAGCCAACTCTATCCTTTTTTTGTTCGTCTGCTTTCCCGGACCACCACGACCAGTCGTGTCGGTCAGATCTGTATTTTAATTTCCTTCTCCTCGCCTTCTTGCTGACGTTGATGATTCCAACAGCTCCAGCCTCGCCCTCCCCGTCCTCCAAACCACCACAACCAGCCGTGGTCAAGTCGGTACCCAATTCCATCCCTTTGCTGCCTCCTCCGGATATGACACAGACCCGTGTCGGTGGGGTCAGTATTCCAACTTCTTTCCCGTCGCCTCTTTGCTAACGTGAATGATTCTAGCAGCTCAATCCTCCTGGCCTTCCTCGCCCTCTGACCATCACGACCAGCCGTCGGTCGGGTCGGTATCCCAGTCCCGTCCCTTTTTGCCTCCTCCGGACATGACGCCAGTCATCAGTATCCAATTGCATCCCCGTCTTTTTCGCTAACCGTCCATGATTCCAGGCGGCTCCTTCCTTTTTTTGTTCTTCTGCTTTTCCACACCACCACGACCAGTCGGGTTAGTATTCCCATTCCACCCTCTCTCGCCCTCTTACTGACTGTTAATCATCCAGCCAGCTCCATCCTCGCTCTCCTCATCCTACAAATCATCACGACCAGCCGTGTCGGTCTCGTTAGTACTCCAATTCCATCCCTTTTTACCTCTGGACACGACGCCCAGTGTTGGGCACGTCAGTATTCCAACTGCATTTTCCCTTTTTTTTTGCTAACCGTCGATGATTCCAGGCAGTTCATCCTTTCTCGCCACCTGCTCTTCAAATAACCACGCCAATCGTATCGGCCGGGTCAGTATTCCATTCTATCCTCTCTCGCCTTTTTACTAACGTGAATAAATCCAGCCAGCTCCATCCTCCACCTCCTACTCCGGACATCACGCCCGCCGTAGATCGCGTCAGTATTCCCGTTCTATCCTCTCGCCTTCTTGCTGACCGCCAATGATTCAGGCAGTTCCTCTCCCTCGCCCTCTCAAGCCACCACGCCCAGCCGTTGGTCAGGTTAGTCATGCAATCCCATCCTTTTCGCTTTGCTAATCGTTAATCGTACTCGCCAGCCCATCTCCTCGCCCTCCTCGCCCTCCTCTTCCTGCAAACCATCACGTCTATCCTCCTCGCCCAGGTCAGTATTCCAATTCCATCCTCTCTCGCTTGTTGCTAATCGTCAATCATACTCGTCAGCCCCATTCTCCTTGCCCTTTTACTCCTCCAACCACACGACCAGCTGTCGGTCAGGTCAGTCAGTCATCCAATTCCATCCTTTTTCGCCTTGCTAATTGTCCATCACACTCGTCAGCCCATCCTTCTCGCCTTCTCGTCCTGCAAACCATCAAGCCATCCTCAGCCAGGTCAATATTCCAATTCTATCCCTCTCCTCTGGACGTGACGCCAGTCGTGTCGGTTGCGTCGGTCTTCCAATTGCATCCCCCTTGCCTTGCTAATCGTCCATCACACTCGCCAGCCCATCTCGCCTCCTCGTCCTGCAAACCATCACGCCCGGCCGCCTACTTTGGTATTCCAACTCTGTCCTCTCCTCCAACCCCTGACGACCAGCCGTTGGTCAGGTCAGTATTCCAATTCCATCCTTTTCGCTTTGCTAATCGTCAATTATACTCGCCAGCCCATCCTCGCCCTCCTCATCCTGCAAGCCATCTCGCCATCCTCCTCAGCCAGGTCAGTATTCAATTCCATCCCTTCTTCTCAGGGCATAACGCCAGTCATGTCGGCTGCGTCAATCTTCCCATTGTCTTCCTTTGCATTTTGCTGACCGTTGATGATTCCAGCAATTCATCCTTATTCACCTCACTCCTCCAAGCCGAGGCCAGTCGCCGGTCGCGCCAGTACTCCTATTTGTCCTTTGCTTTGTTGCCGGTCGTCATTCATACTCGCCAGCCCATCCTCTCCCAGGTCTGTATTCCAATACTACCCTCTCCGGACATGACGCCAATCTTACCGGCTACGTCAATTTTCCAATTGCATTCTCCTCGCATTTTTGCTGACCGTTGATGATCCAGGCAATTCCGTCCTATTCGCCCTTCTGGTCCTTCAAGCCATCACGCCGGCCTCGGTCGCTTTAGTATCCAAGTCCGTTTCACTCTCCTCCAACCCTGACCACTAGCCCTGTCGGTCACGTCAGTACTCTTTGTCCTTCGCCTTGTTGCTGACCGTCGGTGACCCCTAGTTCATCCTCTTTCGCCATTTTACTCCTCCCTCGCCATTTCATCACCCGGACATGACGCCCACTGTATCAGTCAGGTTAGTATTCCAATTTCATCCTGCCTCGTCCTTTCCCCTGGATACGACACGACGTTCACTGTCGATCACCAGTGTTCCTATTGCATCCTCTCTTGCCTCCTTGCTAACCGTCGATGATCCTCCAGCTCCATCTCTCGCCCTCTTCCTCCAGATATGACACCCACCGTATCGGTCAGTTCAGTATTCAATTCCATTTTCTCGTCTCCTTGCTAGTTGTTAATAATCCCCAGCTCTATCGTCCTCGCCTTTGCTCCTCCAGCTCCATCTTCGCCCTTTTACTCCTCCAAACCACAACCAGCATCGGTCATATCAGTATCCCGATTCCATCCTCCGTCGACTTTTATTATGTCGGTCAGGTCAGTATTCAATTCCATCTTTCTCGCCTCCTTGCTACTTGCCAATAATCCCCAGCTCCACCTTTGCCCTTTTACCCTTCCAACCATAACGACCGGTGTCGGTCGTGTCAGTATCCCATTCCACGCCCTTTCCCTGGATACGAATTTTATTATGTCGGCCACCATAGTGTTCCCATTCCATCCTTTCTCGTCTCTTTGCTAATTGTTAATAATCCCCAGCTCCACCGATCATGGCCGAGTTTGTCATGTGCGAGCTCCAAGTGCGGGTTTGCAGCGACAGTTCCCCCCCCCGGGGCCGCGACGACCCGTGCGAGGGGCGGCCGGGGACGGCGCGCTCAAGTTCCGGATCGCCTAGATGGATTCTCGGTTAGCGTTCCGGCAACATGGGACCGGGAGACATACCGCTGGGCTTTGACGAGGCCATGTCTGTATAGATTGCCGTTACGACTGCGGTAGAACTTGACTCCGCCCATGGTGGCCATATTGGGAGTGGCCTTCGGCGCGTTGT